AAACCAGCTGAGGGATATCCGCAATGCACAGAGTAAGGCATACTTGGCCAAGGCAAGTAACAGCAAATGCGGTGGTCGAGGGCCATCAGCAGACCTGAGGTTGAATGATTCTACTGAGCGTAGATCTAACCTCACACCAACATCAAACACAGCACCAAGCACAGCATTGAGCACAGCATCAGGCACAGCATTAGGCATGGCACCCAACCCAACATCTAATGCAACACCCAACACGTCATCTCACGCAACAACACCCTCCTTTCAGCTACTCAATGAAGAAGAACTCTAGATCTCCGCAATTCCTGCAGATTATGCAAGTCAACATAGGAAAAGGGGGCCCAGCACACAAGACGGCCCTCAATCTAGCATTTGAAAGAAAGACTGACATCCTTCTCATACAGGAACCCTGGATTCACAGGAACTTAAGCCAACGCATCTCCAAAAAGCATCCAGCATTCAACTGCTTTGCCCCAATTGAAAAGTGGGACAGGAAGCCACGGGTCCTCACCTATGTGCGTAAACACCCACAAATCCATGCTCATGCAGTCCCAGGCCCCTGGGCAGAAAACCAGGACATCCACATGCTGCACATACAGGCCTGGGGTCTACAGCTTCAGACAGTCAACATATACAATGCACCCCCAGGCGCAGAGGATCCTGGACAAGGTGTGGGCTGTCTTCTCTCCTGGTCTGTCCCAGCACTCCCATTGCTCCTTGCTGGCGACCTCAATATCAAGCACCCCGTGTGGCAACCAGGAGTGCCTCCAAGCATGTGGGCGGAACCATTCCTGCAATGGACCATGAATTTCAACTTTACTCTCACCATGGACCCAGACACTCCCACACGTGGGCATAACATGATAGACCTGGCCTGGGCCACCCCGGAATTAGTTATCAAAGGAGTGGACACACAGGTGGACAGATCCCTTTACACTTCCTCTGACCACCAGACTCTTCTCACCAAAATCAGCCTTCCACAGGGCGCAAGGCCTGACAGGCCAACCCATTTTTTCTGTCTTGACACCATGAATGAGAAGGTCTTTAACCAGACGCTGGAGGCCTATAAGCCAAAACTAGACAAACTATGTGATTTCCCAGAGTACCCCAATACAGATCAGCTGGATGCCCTGGCTAAAGGTATCACAGATGCACTAATAGCTTCCCTGGAAAGTTCCACCAAGAAGAGCACCGGGCAAGGCACAGGTCAGCCATGGTGGAATGAGGACTGCCAGAAAGCAGTGACAACACTACATTGTGCACAGCACCTAGGCTCTAGTTTTTTACGAGAAGCAAAAAGCAACGTAGCCAGGACCACCAGGAAAGCCAAGAGAGAATACTGGCGAGGCAAGATAGCAGAGGCCTCAGTGGGGAAAGATATCTTTAAGATGATCAAATGGGCCCATTCAACTGGCTCCTTTCATTCCCCCCCTCTTGTAGATGAAGAGACTGGGCGAACGCGAACAACCCCTAGAGAGAAAAGAGACCTTCTGCAACGGGTGCTCTTACAGAAGGCTGCAAGCAGAGAGGATATCCCAATTAGCTGGTCCAACCCACCATCTGTCAAATTACCTTTTCCTGTTGCCTCAGCACATGAGATACAAAGTTCTCTGCTGAACACGGGTAATACCACTCCAGGAACTGATGGAGTGCCAACAGAGGTGCTACAAAAGGCATGGCCACATATTAAGGTATCAGTGGAAAGGCTGTTCAGAGCCTGCCTTAGGGTTGGCTGGCACCCAACCTCCTTTCAAGATGCCACACTGGTTGTGCTGTCTAAGGTCAACAGAGATCCAACACTCCCGCGATCCTACAGGCTTATAGCCCTTCTCTCAACGTTGGGGAAGGGACTGGAACGCCTGTTAGCCCGTAGGCTGGCCTGGACAGCTATACAAGAGAAGATTGTCCACCCCCAGCATTTTGGAGCCCTCCCTGGGCGGGCTGCCTCAGACCTAGTGGCAGCGATGGTTCATGATATAGAGGAAGCCTGGGCCCATGGAAAAGTAGTCTCTCTTCTTACTCTGGACATCAAGGGTGCTTTTGATGCTGTACTCAGAGGAAGGATGCTGCGGAGATTGCAAGAACAAGGCTGGCCACCAAATTTAATTAGATGGGTGGAAAGCTTCATGACAGGACGCACAGGCAGGATCAGATTGGATGGACTCCTGGGAGAGCTCTTTGATATCCCAGCAGGGCTTCCACAAGGCTCACCAGTCTCACCTATTCTATTCATGCTGTTTATTCAGCCTCTGTTCTTTCTAGGAACTATACAAAGAAGACGTGCACGCTTAGGCTACGCAGATGATCTAGGACTGCTTAGTGCTGGAACCACTCTTGAAGGGAATGTTGTTACTCTCCAGAAGGATTTCAAGTTGCTAAATGATTGGGCCAGCAAAGAAGGGCTGACATTTGATTTTGCCAAAACTGAGATAGCACACTTCACACGGCGCAGAACCCTTTCAAACCCCTCAATCAACCTTGAAACAACATCTGGCACTCACTCTATTACAGCAAAGGCAGTGAAAAGCTCCATAAGATATCTAGGAATCTGGCTAGATAGAAAACTGAGCTTCAAGAAACACGTGGAGACCATGGCGGCTAAGGCACAACAGGTGTCTAATGGCATACAAGCACTAAGCAACACAGCAAGAGGCGCCCCAGTACAACTGCTTAGACAATCCATTCAGGCCTGTGTGCTCTCTGTGCTCTGCTATGGAGCAGAGGCCTGGTGGCCTGGAGCCACACGAATGGAGAAGGGAAAGGAAATCTCCAATCAAATGGATTGCCTAGTCAGAAAGCTAGATCTAGCCCTTAGAGATGCTTTGCGAGGGGCACTGCCAGTCTACAAGACCACACCCATTTCAGCTCTACACCGTGAGCTAGGAATCATGCCAATGAAAGAGACACTAGACAACCGGCGTGCTGTATTTGCAGTAAGAATCAAAAAGCTTGACAAGAGGCACCCGCTAGTGAGACGCTCTAATAAAGTAGCTACCACCAAACCCTATACCACACGTCTGTCTAGAGCGTCCAGTCATGCTGGTGGGATAGAAGCATATGACCCTCTACTCATGCCCCCTTGGATGAGATTTCCCAGGAAAGAAGATCTGCAGATTGGGTATGTGGCAGGCCGCACAAAGGAACAGGCAGCACAAGACTTTAAGAGCTGGCTACAACAACGCAATCCCCTGGATCTGGTGGTCTTTACCGATGGTTCACAGATAGAGCACCCTCAGCGTGCGACTGGTGCAGGATGGGCTATATGCTGGGGTAGTGAACACTGTCTAATCTCCACAGGAAACCTGCCAATGGATAAAGCAGAGGTCTTTGACGCAGAGGCAATGGCAGCCCTGCAGGGCTTAAAGGAAGCCACCACCTCACCTCAGACGAAGTTTGCCAGCAACGTCTACATTTGCCTAGACAATTTGGAGGTAGCACGAGCCCTTGGATCTGTGCCAAACACCTCTAGCCAGCAGGTCTTCGCGCAGTTTCTGAAAGCCATAAAGGCCTGGCAGAGCAGGGATAGGCTCCCATTGGCCACCCAGAGCAGGGTGGTCATTAGATGGGTCCCAGGCCACGCAGGCGTGGCTGGTAATGAAAAGGCAGATCTTGAAGCCAAAGCAGCCGCAGCGCAGGCAGCAAGTGCAAGCATGGTACCTCAACCTGACAGCATAGGCACTCTAGCTTATATAAAGCAACACACTATGGAACAAACCACACGGGCCTTTGAGAACTACTGGGCCAAAAATCAGCCCAAACACTATATGGAGCTGGAGATCCCACTAAAGAGAGCCTCAACAGAGGTAAAACTTTCACGCTTCACATTAGGAAAGCTCTATGCCACCCGATCAGGTCATGGAGACTTTGCAGCCTACCACAGCCACCTTAAGCATGAAGATGCAGAGTGCTACTGCCGGTGTGGACATAGCAAAACTCCAGAACATTTCTACTATTGCACTCTTGCAAGAAAAGCAGCAAAGTGGTGCTGGCCTATCTACAATCTCTGCGAGACACTGGCAACCTCGCGTGGGGCCCTAGAATTCAATAACTGGCTAAGAGAAACAGCCTTCTATCAGAATATCTGTCCAATGCGCCGTCATGCACCTCCAGATCAGATCCCACAGACCATTCTCTCCTCTGTCTTGCCCCCATCTTCCTCACCACCTCCTCCTCCTTCCTCTCTTTCCTCTTCTTTCTTTCCTTCCTTGCCTTCCTTCCTATCCGCCTCCCCTACCTCCCTCCCACAAACCTAAAACCTCTCAAAACCTCTGCTCTATGGCAACCGACCCATGGGCTCTGCCGGTGCAGCAATACGCAACCCATTTTTGCCTCATTTGTAAGATAGCTACTAGATAGGTAGTCGCCTACGGGCGTAGCTCTACCCGCCCTATAGTTCGACGCGGACTCTACTAGATCACGTGCCCTTAAGGCACGTGGACTAACCGGGCGTTAAATAAAAACACACACACACACACACACACACACACACACACACACACATAACAACGTTATCCTACAACAGTATGAGCTATACCCATTTTAGATATTGAGATTTATACTGATCTTGACGCCAAGGTGCGGACCATCCTTTCTCCGTGCCCAAAACGGCTAGACCCCTTTCATGCCCGAGCCAAAGTGAAGTTCAGTCAAACGAGTTCAGAAGAACGACGGACCAACAGTCTGATCGACACTTCGGCAATCGCCAGTAGACAGCCTTAAGCTTATCCTCGTATCCAAGACATTCTGCTTCTGCTTCTGCTTTTCGAACGTCAAGCCACGGCTGCATATCTCCAACAGTCCATCCACTGCTCGGTTGGCCTGCCTTAATTCTATGTTACTATCATCACCCCTTGTTCGTGGACATATAAACAATTGACTTCCGGCAACGTTCCTAGTCCGTTGCACCAAACCACAAAGGAAAGGGTGTGCTGCAGTCAAGCGCTTGTATATTCCAGTCAGATCTGGAGCGATTACTTTGAATGGCCTGGCAGCCGTCATCTGCCATGGCTGGGAACGGAGGAATGGGTGGAGTGGTTGACGGCGCTGTCAACATGAGCCATCAGCAAGGGACCGAATACACACTTCAAGGTGACTCCTCTCCTCTCTTCATTTCCTTCCCCTCCCCAGTCACCCCTCACAGCTGCCTTTTCCTCCCCCATTAGGCCTTCCATATGAAACCATACCCTTTCATGTGAACTTTCATGTGAAATGCTTTCAGCGTTACTAACCGCGTGTATTTCTCTGCAGGTGTTATGCGATTCCTCCAAACTGAATGGCACAGACACGAACGAGATAGGAATGCGTGGGAGATTGAGCGTGCCGAAATGAAATCCAGAATTGGCAGATTAGAAGGTGACGCCCGTACGAGCAAGCGCATGCACGAAACCCTAGGAAAGCATGTTAAGATGCTTGAAGCCGCCTTGAAAAAGGAACGGGAAAAGGTCCGGAGTTTAACTGCAGGAGAGCCTGTCAACTTGGAAAAAGACCCCAAGGAGCTTGCTAAAGAAAATCTCAAAGTTTTACCAACACGTCTGAGAACCCCCCTTGTTCTTACACGACCCAGCTGACCTACTCTCTAGAACAACCAAAATCCCGCTCCACTCTTGTTGATGCCAAAAATGCCGTCAATCCAGATGTCCGCCAGGACTCCGAGCGTGAGAAGTCTCGAATGTACCTCGGGAAATGCTCCCAGGAAGTTGCCTATCATATAATTCCAGGTTCGCATCCTCCTCCTGACCTCCTCGATCAACAGGAGCTATCCGAACACGGCTACCAGAACCATCAAATGCAGAGATCGTCCCTTGAAGAAGCTTATGCACAGCAGCAATATCAACATCAGCAGAGACAAAAGCTTCAACAACAGCAGCGACAGCAGCAGCAGCAGCAGCAGCATAATCACGTAAATATGGGTCGCGAACCTTCCATGCATCAGACCCTTCCTTCTAATTATTCTGAAACCCCCAATCTTGGGCGGCCCCAATTAAACCATGCTTCGCAAGCACCGGTCGAGGGGCATTCATTCCCGCAGCAACGTTCTCATTCTATTTCCATGGATCACCGAAAACCTCCATTTGATTATTCCTCTATTGCAGACGAAGAGGTTGAATCAATAACCCATACCTTTAATTCGTATGGAAAGCAAATACCCATAACTGAATCACCTCATCCGGTCATGTCTAAGGAGCCGGTATCTGATGATGCAGATGGATGGAACTTTGATGAAAACCCTATAAATGAATTGACGCCAGCAGGTGGCCAACTCCATAGACCAGACACCAATGCGTTTCCCAATGCTAATTTCATTCCCCCAAAGTCTCCACCCAGAGGTGGTCCGGGCTCCCACAGAAGGAAAGGCTCAGGAAGACGTCGCAGCGAGGGTAATACTGATACTCGCGATCTTGCTGCCTTGAGCGGACTGAGTCCCGACGCGCTAAATTTCAAAGTTCGATTCGCATTGAGGGGTCATCTTGATGTTGTTCGATCTGTTATCTTCACGGGTGGAGGGAGCCCATCAGAGCCGGAAATATGCACCTGTGGTGACGATGGGACAATTAAGCGCTGGATTATCCCAGCATCCTATGGAAGCTTCAGTTCCTACAACACCAGCTCGAACAACGATCTAGATATTACCAGTTACTTTACTCACCGTGGGCATATAGGTCCTGTCACCTGTCTTGCATCATGCCCGCCCTCTCCAAATTTTTCGAGCGGCGGTAGGGTCCTGGGGGATGGCTGGATATTCTCAGGCGGCCAAGACGCAAGCGTTAAAGTCTGGGAACGGGGTAGGGTCGACCCGAAAGCCTCTCTGGATACCCATACGGATTCTGTGTGGGCCCTGTGCGTTCTTCCAGGTACCGTAGGATCTATCTTTGGTGATCAATGCAGTCATTATGGTGGTGTCGATCGAATACTCCTTGCATCCGGTGCTTCTGATGGCAGAATTCTGATTTGGGCTGTGAGTACGCCGCCCCAACTCGCGTCACCACAAGCTGGATCGAGAAGAGGAGGGGGTGGCAGCCGAAGGGCAAACTCCATATCCTCCGGCTCCAATTTCCCTTCCTCTCCTCAACCAAGTACGGCAACTGCAATTCCATTTCACTACACCCTAATTCATCATATCATTCGACCTGATTCTCCATCCCCTACATGCATCAGTCCCCTGTCGCTTTCTGGTGTAAGTTTTGTCGTTTCCTATGCCGATGCTTGTATTATCATCTATGACACTCGTTCAGGGGAAGAAATCGTTGGGATGGCTAGTCTGGAAACTTATGATGGAACTCGTTCCACTGGTGTTAACTCCGTAATTGCAAGCACCATGGGCTTTGACGGGACGGCCAACCTGGATCCAAATAGGGCTTTAGCGGAGGAGGAAGCCGTCGTCCACGGTGCCACTGGAACTAGTGGCGGAGTTGAAGGTGTCATTATCAGCGGTTATGAGGACCGCTATATTCGATTTTTTGATGCCAATAGCGGTAAGAATTATCTCCTAACTGCCTTTCTAATTTAGAAACAGAAGTTCGCTAATCGTATCTTAAAACAGGCCAGTGCACATATACAATGCTCGCCCATCCTGCTGCTATTTCCTCTCTCTCCCTATCACCAGATGGGCGTGAGCTCGTCTCTGCAGGACACGATGCAAGCTTACGCTTCTGGTCGCTAGAGAAACGAAATTGTACGCAAGAAATCACTAGTCACAGGCTAATGCGAGGCGAAGGTATTTGCTCTGTTGTTTGGAGTCAAGATGGGCGATGGGTTGTGAGTGGTGGTGGGGACGGAGTGGTAAAGGTCTTTTCAAGATAATGACATGGTTTGGATTTTCGGTCTGCTTTACCTTATTGCCCATTCTTCCCTTCCTCGGCCGCCCCCCCCACCCCCACAAAAACCTCCTTTCTTTCTTTTATCTTTTGAGATTTCATGGCCGGATTCAGAGGGACTGCGGACATGGTTTTCTAGTCTAAGTTACGTCTGACATTTTTGCCTCGCTCAATGAGGTTGGTTTTCTTTATTCTCAATCTGTTCTGTATGTTCATCATTATTCCTTATAAACCTCTTGTCTACTTTTCTCATTCATTTGTCTTCTTTTCTTTTCATTTCATTTTTCCTTTTGTAAGATGTGTTTTTCGCTCAGCATCTATAAATTTTCTTGGACACTATTTTAAATAATACAGATGGTCATCATCTGTAATAGCTGTGTTTACATCGTACCTCCTGACGATACCCCAATACCCTTCGTCAATAGCCGGTGGAGCATTGTGATAAAGAAATCCTATTAGAAGCATTTTTATTTTATTATAGTCTATCCTCCCTTGTTTTGGCACAGGTATGTCTGATAGCTGGAGATGCAAAGGGTGCATTTGCATTTGCTAACTCCCTGACCCTTTTCATGTTGTCTTCATCTCCATGGGCATTATTTCTCTTCCAAGTGTATTTACATGTATCTATTCATATTCCCATCACTACTTAAATCCGCTTGAATCTTATCGCAGTTTTCTCTCAGAATGAACTGAAATTATAATGCAACATGCTGCCAATGGAAAAGACAGTACTCAAACGTCCAATGCTCTTTGGAATTCGCATGTCATGTCACACATTATGTGATAACTGATTTTGAAGGCGGAGCAATGAATACACAGCGGACGAGATTTCTTCATTCAACCTCCAACCACGATCCCAAAAGGTTCAACAAGCATCTACTCCTGTTTGGACATCCATGCGTTTCTAAATATAGTTTTAACCTGAGATACCTGTTCCGGGTCTTTCAACTTTGTCGTTACAAAGGTATCTAAATCGTCCCAGAACTCCTCCGTGGAGAGTACGTTGTGCGCATAGGTTTGAGAGCTTTGAGCAGGATTCTGGTCATCAGGGGTTGGGGCTGGGGTTGGGGATGGCTCTGACAGTTCCTTCGAGGGAATCCGTTCGTCCGCCTTGGAAGCTACAGGAGCGAGCGCAGCTCCACCGAGGACCATGACACCAAACTCAATACCATGTCCGCCAGATGGTGCAGCATAATCATTCCCCAAAACATCAGTCAATGTCTGCCCCTGAACGGGTTTCTTATTCCAGAGTATCTTTATTTTATCTAGAGGCACGCTGGTAGACTGATTGTTTTCGGTCGTGGTGTGTATCCTTGTTTGAACGGCTTCTTTTAGTTCCTTCACTGTCGTAGACGAGATGGTACGATTATCCAACGTAACATGTAAAACCGGATTACGGGCAGACTTCAAATGTATAGCTATTGATTTGGAAGACCCTGGGATAGCCTCTCGTTTTATCTTCTTTGGCATGCAAGGATGGAGATCGGAAAGGGGGGGGAGAGTGAACTGGAAACGCCAGAAACGATTGTTAGGCTTTCATAATTCCATACAGAGTGATGATTGATATTTTCTTACGGGATGCGGAGCCGGGAAGCTCTGGGGATCAAACACGTAGTCGGCGGGAAGCTTCACAGGTCGTGAATCAAGAGCCGTGAGGAATGACTTGGTGAAGTTAAGCTCCGCCATTACGTATTGGCAAACTACACTTCTCCAGCGAGTCGTGAAATTGGGGTGATTTTTATGATGTCGGGGAGCAGCGCGGGTCCTTGGAGTAGAGGCAGCCTGAGAATATGATTGCGCAAATGAAGCCAGAAACAAGAAACACAGGAGAATGACAACAGTGAAAGTTAGTTATCACCAAGCTGCTCATAAGCAATGATCAGCTAATTGCCCGTGGGACCTTTAACTTCGGCGAATAGTCCTCACTATTATATGAAGTTAGCTGAAATGTCAGCTAGCTAAATCACCAACAAACTAATTAATTGTGCCGCCGTGCAACCCACACCTTGTGTGGGTGCACCACACCAAAATGATAAAAATCTTGAATCATATCCTCATTATTGCACTCTATATCAACAATCAGTAGCTAATCTATAATAAAAAGATTATCTACATCATTCTCAGTATGTGTGTCATCTCTAAATTGATTTAATTCCTCTTCTGTCAGTGATGTGAGTAAGTTATTATCAATTTTCATAAGATCAATTTCAAGTCTTTATCACTTCTTATTCTGCTCTTTTTCAGCTTCATTATTCTTACACTGTTTGATTTTTCTATTGATATTTTTAATAGTGAGAACTCTCTCTATTTGAATCTGATGATAAGTTGTTTTAGCTCTGCAGTATTTACTAATATTCAGAAAGTTCAATAATTCAATGATTTATTACTCATTAAGTTTCATATATATTAGACTTGTTTTGAATATCTTGTTCAAATAACATGTCAAGATAAGTGATTTCAATTTGAGAGTATCTCTAATACTTTGTATGATGTTTTTCATAATATTAATATGATATTTCAGTTTTTGAATTATCTTTGATGAGAATAGCTGAGAAGAAGAGATAAATATATGATCTGAATCATTCTCATATTCATAAATCTGCAGTAGAGGAGATAATGAGATTCGCTGCTTAAGAGTATCAAGAACTCAGTTAAAATTTTATAAATATATATCACATTAAGCTTATTTTATAGCTATTATATCAGATTTAAAGATCTGCTTTTGTATAGCTAAGAGGTTTTGTAGAAACTACTGTTTTTTATACTTAACAAGATTAATAAGATCATAACATGCAGTGTAGTTGACTGCTTTTAAATGATAATATTTATATTACTAAAATAATAAACTATTTAGAGATTGTTGTAAATAAGTAACATATGATGAAAATTTATATAGAATTATCTTATGAAAATCTATATATTGTATGAACTTCTTAGTAATATGAGAGTCATGATTACTCATTAAAAGTAATTGATGACTTCTCTTCTATAGTAGTATTAAAATATTTAAATTATTTAAATTTAATCTTATTATTTATAAATTCAATATTTGATATAGTATTTTTATAATTGTTGCATAAATCTGTCTGTGCATATCAATTCTTCAAATGTACTTTAAAGATTAAGATTATCAATGATAAAATGATATAATTATTTATAAATATATATTCAATGATTATAATCAAATTTTTTAAAAAAATAATAAAATAATAAAATTAACTTCTTTAAAGGAAGTAATAACTCATTCTTCATGTCCTTGTCCTTTTTGAAATTTAATCTCATCAAAGTTGTATATATTATAGATGTGAAATTAATATTACTCAAACAGAATATAAAGACATTCAAATCATATACTGATATATTCAATATCTTCAACTACTACTTTTTTTAAATTTATTGATTTCTGTTTTATTCTCTTATACTCAGATAGACATTCAATGAATTTATAAGTTCACATCTTACTGACTTTTAAAAAGAAAATAATAAAATCTAAGTGTTAATATTTGAGCATTAAAATTATAAAATCTTCAATATATTTAGCTATGAGAAAATAATTCTTTTTATCAAGTAGTTTGACTCATTGTTTAATCATGTTCTTCTGACTCTTATTTAATCTCTTGTTAACTGAAATCTTTGCAGTATTCAGATTCCTTCAATTAATATATACTAGAAGATATTGATAAAAATTTCAAATTCTTATAACATAGATAGTATTTTGAAATTTAAGTTTTTTTGATGATAAGTGACAGCATTTTGAATACAATCTTCAATATTTTTATCCTTATTTGACATTGTGGTGAGTTATTAATTGATGAAGATGATGATGATGATGAAATTGCAAGATTTTTATCATTTTGGTGTGGTGCACCCACATGAGGTGTGGGTTGCAGAGGCACGATTAGTTAGTTTGTAAATGTTGGAGCCTAGGCTTCCTATTATGGACTAGCGCACCGCACAGTAGTATAGAGCATCCCCGAGATAGCTACCAATACAACCACTTTAGACGTCCCACAGAAATTAAGTCTTATTACACACAACAACGTGATTCGGCCTTAACGCTATTCCTAATATGGCATATTCTGCCGAATTGTTTTTCCGTCCTCCAAGTCAAGTTTGCAACAAACAAGAAAAAATACAACTTGGTTAATTTTTTAGTTTAACAGTTAGTTGACTTAAAAACTTAGATAATTATTCAATACACAGAACTCCATGCGTAGGAACCTCCACCCAGTACTCGTCCGGTTAGCCCTCCTGCTGGACCAACAAGATCCAATTGTTTAGTTTCATTCAAATGGGCGTGGGACGCCGCATGAAAAAACAGGGTCCTCCCCCATCCATAGACGAGTCAAAGATTTCCTCCCTGAAACGACGCAAAGCGTCGGATGCCGATGATGCGCTTCATGAAGGGAAGAAGCGTTGCACAGAGAGCAATACACGTGAAAGGCATGGGAAACCAGCCGGTAGCCGTCGTGTCAGGCGGAAAAAATCAGGTGCAAAAGTGAATGAGGGACAAGCAGTGTCGAAGCTGCCCCCAAAGTCGAAACCCAGCTCGAAAAAATCTGTCCACTTGCAGGATACGGGGAACTCTGACGGTGATGCGGAAGATATTCTGGAAGATGAGTTTGAAAACCTGGAAAGTGTCAGTGACGATGGCGACGGTTTCGATTTCTCACCCGAAAACTCAGATAGAGATGGTGTTTTGGATTCAGCGTTTGACTCAGAAGAGGACCATCCCCGCGAGGCTATGTTTTCAGAAGACGAGAATATATCCGACGCAGAACAGCGGCTTACTGCTGCCAATATTGAGGGTCTGTCAAAGAAACTGGATTTGGAAGCGGATGCTACTGCTGAGAAGTCACGATTAGAACTCAAAGAGTCCGCCATCCAAACCAGCATTGCAGGTGATCGTTTAGATATCTTTGGGGAGAATGACGAGACCCTCAAACAGGTGGGACTCGCTCCTGACCTCCAACTCCTTCGGAGTCGCATAACGGAGTCAATTCGTATCCTCAGCGATTTATCGGCACTTGGACAAACTGGCAAGTCCCGTGCCGACTATACTAATCTCCTTCTGGCCGACATATGTACCTACTATGGCTACTCTCCATTCTTGGCCGAAAAGCTATTCAACCTGTTTACCCCCCGCGAAGCGTTTGCTTTTTTCGAAGCCAATGAATCGCCCCGCCCCGTTGTCATCAGGACAAACACACTACGAACAAATCGCCGCTCCCTAGCCCAGGCCCTGATCAACCGCGGCGTCGTCCTTGAACCCGTGGGAAAATGGTCCAAAGTGGGTCTACAAGTTTTTGAATCCTCCGTTCCGTTAGGTGCTACTCCAGAATACCTTGCTGGTCACTACATCCTCCAAGCCGCTTCGTCCTTCCTCCCAGTCATGGCGCTAGCTCCCCAGCCCAATGAGCGAATTCTCGATATGGCCGCTGCTCCTGGTGGTAAAACAACATACATATCTGCATTAATGCGCAATACAGGGTGTGTACTTGCAAATGACGCAAGCAAACTTCGTGCGAAAGGGTTGATCGGTAATATCCACCGACTTGGATGTAAAAACACCATTGTCTCACATCTAGATGCGCGGGAAGCCTTCCCAAAGATTCTAGGGGGTTTCGACCGTATCTTGCTTGATGCACCTTGCTCCGGTACGGGCGTCATCTCAAAAGATCCAAGCGTCAAAACTTCTAAGACGGAGCGTGATTTTCTCGCTCTACCCCATATGCAAAAGCAACTGCTCCTAGCCGCCATCGATTCCACCGACCATGCGTCTAAAACTGGCGGCTATATTGTCTACTCCACTTGCAGTGTAACAGTAGAGGAAAACGAAAGCGTGGTGCAGTACGCCCTCCGCAAGCGACCAAACGTGAAAATCGTGGATACCGGTTTGGGAAATTTCGGAACTCCGGGCTTTAAAAGCTATATGGGGAAGAAGTTTGATGAAAAAATGACCCTAACCCGACGCTATTTCCCGCACCGGGAGAATGTTGACGGCTTCTACGTTTGCAAGTTGAAGAAGACTGGCCTGAGTCCTTACGCAAGTAAGTCCGCAAGCGGTTCAAATGCAAACGGTGGCTTGATGGCTGCGGCAGACGACACTGAGGAAACGATTGACAGAACGCCTATCGTAGGCCAGGAGAAGGAGAAACAAATACAAGAACAAGTGTTCGGACCGTTTGACGAAGACGAGGACGCGACATATATCTCGAGGGCGGAGCGAAATAAGCTACGGAGGAGGGGATTAAACCCCAGGGCGGTGCTTAAAGGGAAGTCAAAGAGCACCAAGGTATCAAAGACCACAACTAAGAAAAGTTGATGTCATCTCCCGTTTGTCGAGGACCGAAGCAAGTTTTTGGGTCGAAAAGCTTCTAAGTTGACCTCAGAACGACGAAAAGATTGATAAGACAGAGAAGTGAGAAGGCATCGAGTTGATGATGTGAAGGAAACGCCAGAATTTAGTATGTAGATTAAAATATGAGAAAAAAAAAAAAGGTGAGGGCGGGGGGCTGCTTAGCAAGAGATATGCGGAAATGACGCCAGAGTTGATGTGGGTTAACGCTACGCAATAATAGCAAGTAATTTTAATGCAAGTTGTAGAACAGCTTCAGGCGGATACCCCGGGTATATCTGTTTAACACTTCTTAATTCTCCTCCATTGTTAATAGTTACTTCCATGCTGCTGTGACATTTCAGGTACCCTCGCGACGTATTAGTCAGGGACGACTTCATGGGTATCCATGGATTCGTGGTTATGACAGTCCACGTAGGGAGGAGTATTTTATCAGGATGGCTATTAAATCCGCCAATATCAGTATCAATGCAAGTCAACCTCGCAACTTCTGCGGAATAGAAACAGCACGACTCGGCATGAATAGTAATAAGCAAGCTCATTTATTCCTTTTTTTTGTGTTCAACTAACCAAGTGGACCGAACCAGTACGCACAAACCCCTATTCAGTATTCCCAAATAAAACACACGCCTCATCTAAAACCAAACCAACGTTGTCGCGGTTCACTAAATCTAGGTCTCTGTTTGTAACAGGAAATCCGAGGGAAAAGGGTAATATTTAAAAAACATGATGAAGAATATATGATGTCCTATAAATTAGCGGTGGACATCCGCCAATAACCAACCATCAATAAACTTGGGTGTAAGGAGCGACGTCGCAGATGGTATATGAAGGTCAAACCAAAAGGAGAGGCTTGGGAAAGATGAAAAAGGATCAACTTCAGGTCGAAACTGCTTCTTTGCAGTTAGGGCACAAATATCCCTCAAAAAGGGATAGGTAAACACACGCTAGAGCTAGATCATCATCTCTTTAAACATCTATCCGAACTTCGTCAGAAATCACAAGGGATAGTAAATCCAAGAACATGAGAGGCAAAACAACATATGAAGGATCCAAAACAAGCGATCAGCTACGGTAGATCTTGACCACACTAGTGACCTTCTTCCGACACATAGGGCATATGTCAACTTGTTTGGCACAGCTTACGCATGCACAAACATGCCCGCAACTGTAAAACAGCGCATCCTGATCTTCACTGTAGCAAATTTGACAAAGGTCCATCTCCTCATCTGCAACTTCCCAGTAACTGATACCCTTCCCATGTCGTTTGCCGGCCCGGTAACCGCCAACGTACTTGTTGCCAGTCTTGCGTTCGATAAATGTTCCTTGGCCGTGACGTTCATCTTCGCGCCAATCTCCATCATAGGTGTCGCCCGATGTGAACTCCATGATACCTTTACCATGCCGCTGTCCCAGGACGAAATCACCGGTATAGGTAGCACCAGTGTCTGATATGTGAGTACCTTTGCCATGGTAGTAGCCCTTCTTAAAATCTCCGGAATAGTACTCTCCATTAAAAGTAGCTTCTACCGTTTTTGTACCAGTGAGTGCTTGCGTCGGATGCCGACGGGAAAAAGCCCAGAGGTACTTTGCTAGTAGATCAGGGGTGGCCAAGGAACCCCCCTCCGAAATTGTGGTGCATCTACTAACAATGTGATATTAGCAGGCCCGACTCAGCTACAAAACAAAAGATGCACAAGGGCTACATACCGTGACTTCGGCAATACTTCACCGACGATGAAACATTGGCCATCCAGATCTATGGATATAATGTTGGAAAATTTGTGGGAGCCGGAAATGGACAGGATTGATGCACCGTCCACACGATGCCAAAGGTGAAACTGCTTATCATATGGCCATCCCAGAGCGGCACGAACTGAAGATTTGATGGTATCCTTTTTCCTCGCGAAGAAAACTCCTGTAACGCGGAGCTCTTGTTTTTCGGAGTCAAATATCTGGATGAAATAATATACTTGGCTAGAACCAGGCACAAGATCCCAATTTGCGTCAGCAAATGACCAATCAGCTTCATTACTACGATTCTCCTGCCTCTCTAACCCTGCAGCCGGTTCCCTGTTTTCGTTAGAGCTTGAATCAAAATGGGTGTTGGGCAGTGGCGGGTCTTGCATGACCGAGTCTTCTTGGGCAGCAGTGGGGGTAGCAACATCGATATTATCATTTGCGTGTTGGGGAGAACCATTTTCATTGCCTACTTGGATATCAACTGATTGTTCCAATGTCGTCTGGACTTGCAGTTCTATATCTGCAGTGACCGGGATAGATATCACTCCATTTCCTGGATCTATTGCGGGTTCGTGGTTACCAACAGCAGCTGTGTTGTGGTTGGCGCCAACCAGTTCAGACTGGGCAGGCTGTGAGGCATTCAAGTCTGGTTCCGCGCCCGACATTTGATCGTCAGTGACAGAGTTATTTAAGTCTTGTGGGCCATCAGTTGGAGAGTTGTGGTCGGGAGACGATGAAGCCTCATGCTGCTGCGTTCCTGGCTCGTGCCCTATTAGTACCGTCTCAGATGGTTGGTTAGAAGAAATCGTATCGGCAGTGTCACTATCTCCTTGCCGTGCTGGATGAACAGAAGGATTCCAATCAGTCATGCCGATGTCTTGGGTTTCAGGTACACTCGGTTCTTGGGCTGAATTTTGATCCGTGGTTGTTCTTGGGCCATTTGCAGGCTCTACAGCCTCCTCAGAAATGTCTACATAGTCGAAGGGTTTTGAAGATGGTGTAGAAGTTGGCATGGCAAAAAGCTTTGCATCATCTGTAACAGAGAGATGTCAATGATTAAAATACTCAGCTCAGGCCTTTAGCTCGGAATTTAACCCACCTTCAGACAAGATATGCACCCACAGGCGCAAAACATTCAGATTAAAATATGACAGCGGATAAGTCAAACCTGGGAGGTTCTTTAGGAGTAAGCTGGGAATGAATCCCAATTTTGGACGATCAATCTGCCACATGCGAATATGTTCAGGTTTCTTCTCCTGTTCATCTTTCCAATACCACAAGGCCAACTTTTTTCTTACGGCTTCAAACGTCGTATTAGCTGGCAGGGTTAGATGGCGGAATCCGCCTGCAGACCTGGCAGTGGCCATCAGATCATGAGCATCAAATAAGCTATTATTTACCACAGAGACATCTTTGAGGGAATATATCTCGATGGAAATTGGAGAAGAAGAGATGGATGGGAGCTCTCCGTGGTGAAAATAGTGCCTGAGAGGCTCTGCCATCTTCCATGGCTCAATTTTTCCAGTCAAGAATTGAGGTAAAACATCATTTCGAACATACATCACAACAACTGCAACGTCACGCCCAGATCTATCATAATGACTTCTGGCATCTTCAGAGAGGACACCTTCATGGGCGTCGATCGCAGCCTTCCTTGTAAGACACTCAATCTTGTTATCGCTCGCATCTTCGAAGGCCAGCCAGCGTGTTCCCGGCCCACCAGGACGGAGGATGCTGTAGAATTGCCCCGAAGTCCGTTTGCCTTTGTGAACCACAAAACCATACAGGCTATATCTCCCGACGCGAGATTTAGCGACAATACCAGACAGGTCTAGTTCTTCATCTAGGCCAACGCGACGAGAGATGAGATTCCAATGGTGACTAGCCCGGTCGAATATCTGGCGCGCCAGCTCAACGTGGAGAACCGCTGGAAGCGACCACTTTCCAGGTTTACCATTAAAATATCGTTTCAAGCCTGATTCAATGTTGTCTGAACTTTGTGCCGGAATTCTGATTCTAGAGTTGTTGAAATCTCCGTGGAAACAATTGGCGCTGGGTGCTGTTTCTTCAGCGGAAGTAGTGTCAGTAATCGTACGACTCACGTTCTGACCATCAAAAATTTTAGACAATTTTTCGAGAGCATCGGTGCCGACAAGTTCTAGTTCGAGGGAACGACGAAGCCTCTCCCAAAATTCCATCACGTCCCTAGAGAATTCTTCCAGATTTCGCAGAGTCTGAGTGACAAGGTCGGTATCAACATGAAGATGTGGATGATAGTCGCATCGCAAAGCCCATAAAAGCTTTTGCAGAGATTCACACAAAGGTCTCGGTTTGACGCCCGGGGTAGTGAAATGTTCTAGAACGTCAACACTCTGTATAGCTTCGCGGAAAGGGGCTAGCAAAAGCCATGACACCAAACCAGCAACCTCAAAGCTATACTTGACGACCGAATCCCCCATTGGGCGGTAGCCAGTCAGGCTTAGGCTGTCCCAGATTGGCTCACTATCACTCGAATGCCACCACAACGACTGCGTTGGGTCGTCAAAAACACGAATATACGCATCAAAGGCAAGAGTGTCATCCCGCAGAAGAGCTTGCCTCTGGCCCCGTTGTCGTTGATGAATCCGGTCCCAAGGGCCATGGAAAGTCGTCCAGCCCCAATCCACATTATGGGAATTAAATTGGTGGCACGAAGACTGCATCCAAGCAGTTCGGGGTTCATTGGGGTTGTATAGAATAACGCCGATTTGGGCAGACACCCTCCAATCTCGGGGCGCAACAGAAGATGACGGGGATTCAATTTTCCGTTCGCCTTCTCGCTCTTCTGTGGGAGCTGGTTCACTGTCACCTTCAATAGCAGGGTCTTGCTTCTCATTCCCTTGAGACGTGAAAGATTGGGCGCTTGACAACTTGCTCGAGTTTGCAGTAGCGGGGATAGTAATGTCAACCTCCGGTACCAAATCACTAAGTACGGCATTTGGTGGCCCTCTGAAAACCTTGAATTCGGTCTCCGGGACAACTCTGTCTGGTTGCGGAGGTGTCGATGAGGTCTCGAGATATATACTTAAGGAACCAGTGTTATTACCTCTAGGAAAAAACTTGATCGTCCAGTAAACACCCCCGATATATGCGGCTGGGGACCTCATTATGATAGCACGATTTGGGTTTTCCTTGGTGCCCCGTACACCTTTGAATATCCAGGTCAAGCGAGCTTTCTCTGCAGGTTTATATTCGGGGTCATCGAGTTCTCTGTAGAAAGTCTTTTCCCAGTAATCATCTATAATTGAAAAAGCAATTTGAACATGTCAGTCATCGAATGCGCGCATGT